GAGGGTCCGAAAGCAGCCTAAGGAGCATCTCAGCTACCTTCGGAGACTCCCTCCCCAACATCGTTTCCATCCGTAGTCCCTCATGTCAGTGCCTTTGCAAAAGGGGTTCCGTTCTGTACGGAGTCCGCTCGAGATGGATTTCAGCGGGGTTCAGAGCCCTTGCAAAATTTTATTCCATCCTTATCGAAGACCGCGTGAAAAGGGGTCTTATTGAGGGTCGGAAAGCACCCTAAGGAGCATCTCAGCTACCTTCGGAGACTCCCTCCCCCTCCCTCAACATCGTTTCCATTCGCATGCCGTAATGCGCCTTACTTTACGCCTAAACTTCTGTGAGTCAGTTGCTCTCTACTGGATAATCGTTTTTGTCCTACTCTGAGACAGATCGGGTGTGCGAGATAAGATCGCTTCTACGCAGGCTCTTTTATCACCCTTAAGACCGCATCTTTATGGTAAACTCTTTGTCAACAATAACAACGTGAGTAATCACAAAATACATAATCATGATGAACAATCTGAAATATTGTCAGAAAACAACAACAGGTGATAATACACAACAACAAGCACTACAAATCAACAACGGGAAAACAAATCGAGAGTAGCCTATATAAAACCTTCGCAGATATTTTCTCCAAATTTGCTCTGAAGTAGTCGTACTACACGATCACACTGTTCTTCTACATTACGATTTTCATCTGAAATAATGTAAATCTCATAAGTACAGATTCTTTCAGAAGTAAAAAAGCACTGCTGAGACGACGCGATTCAGTAGATTTGATATGTGGCGGCACTCCGCCAAAAGTGCCGCCTCGTGCGCGGCACTCGCACCAGAGTTCAATTCATTTTACGACGGTATTAGAGCCTGTTACTAGAGTATACGGCAAACGGAGTCATAATTTTTGGACACAACCATCTGAATTTTCTCCTCCCGATACGACCCTCTGCCCTCTGCTGATCTTACAAAGCTCACAAAAATTCGGCCATCGAACGAGGTCAACGGGACAGACTTTTTCGCTGAACTACACCAGTAGCAGTTTTACCGTGCCACCGGCTGGGGAGTGGAGAAATATACATATACTGTGGTGTATGAAAAGGAAGAACCATCAGTGGAAACAGTTCCCCCTAAGCCATATACGACGCTCCTCCCCTCCAGCGACCAAATACGACTACCACTCCAGGGGATCGCTAACGTACGACCTGCCCTGAATGCTGTACACTTCAAGCCAGCTCATTTGTGTCATCGCAAGACGGATCACTTAATCCCCATTTTATCTGCAACTTTCGCTGAAAAACCCACATACCTTCGAGTAATTCGCTAAGGAATGGCAGGATCATCGGTAAATGTGGCGCTACACCGTCTCCAACCTTTTCTAGTATAGCCTCCATAACAAGTAATGCTCGATAGCGGATCTGAAAGTAACACTCGAATAAGAACAACTGAGAAAAATAGAAAGCGGAACTTCACCTTGGCTTTGTTGTTCCTGGTTTTCAGCAATAGTTTATCCAGTATATCTTGAAATACGTCAGGATGTGTGTCCGCTATGCGATATAGCGCATCGGAGATATGAGGTACACATCGCATTTCGTGCCCACTCAATTTACTATTCACTATTTCATTGATCAGCGGCTCTATAACCACTTCTGCACGGTCTCTGAAAAAGGGTGAATCCACAGATAAGGCAGCGTTCAGACTTCGCGACGGCAGCGCTTCAGTCGCGCGTTCGACGCGATCGATGCGCATGCTTTCGACTGCATCGATCGCGTCGAACGCGCGACCGAAGCGCTGCCGTCGCGAAGTCTGAACGCTGCCTAATAGTCTTTGTGTAGTACGGTATAAATAGTTGAATTATAGCCGAAATAATGGATTGAACGTCTTTACAGTGAATAAGGGCAATGTTCTTCTTCTAGTAGGGTGGGGGTACATTATAAGGAATACTTGTGCCAAAATGGTATACGTGAAGGAAACAGGAGATTTTCCGTCTATGCCTGAGATGGTAAGAAGTAGTGGATGAACTTCTCGGGATAACAGGACTTCGTGTTACAGTAATCACAGCCTTACCCGAGGGCTTTTACCCAAGGCCCAAGTTTAACTCAAATTCCTCTAAGGCGAACAGCGCTTATATACAAAACATCTGCCAGAAACAACTCCGATAGATCCAACTGGTGGTGAAGGCGGCGTTGCTGTCACGTGGGCGGCAATCCCCGCGACCTAATCGATTCAACAGTGTCAAATGTCAATCTGATTGCAAAAGTGCTACGGCATGTCGAGTCAAAGTAGTCAATACTAGCTAGTTAGCAAGCGTTACTGCAACATGGATCTACCTACACATCATACATGCAAATGGAAATGTTAGCGTACGCTTCCATCAAGTCTAGAATTCTCTCCGTTTTGGAAGGCCAGCTTCCCGCGAAAAAAATAATAGAAGAAAGAGGGTTACTGGATCTGAAAGAGGGGGTACACACGTAGCGAAACATGGCCGCGCTTAGCCTGGTCATCTAACGTTCTCTAACCGCTGAGTCTCGCAGACACCCACTACCTCTTCACAAAGCGCGGACGAGCAGACTCCATCGCCGTTTCCGCCCCTCCCTCCTCCAAAACCTCAGAACAATACTCTATCGCCCCCTTCTAAACTATTTCTAGCTTGAGGAGTGCTTGCAACAACCCCAAATGACAAAAAACAGAGCAAAAAGAAAGAGTTCGCTTATCACTTACTGAGTGAAAAACTCCCGATGACGTGCGCAGTTGCCGATGAAGTCAATCACATGAACGATCAGAAGCATCCGCTTCCTGCTCTTCGATCGTCCCCTTTCTGCCATTAATCAATAGCAGAGACGCGTCTGAAATGAAAACAGTAACAGGAGCGTTGACTACTCGGACCTAAATCGCGTACTTGAGGCAGCACGAACAGGGAGGGCTGGCAGGCGGGCGTTGTTGCCAGCGTGGCATTTGTGAAAGAGGCTGCAAAAGGTGTTCGGCCACACCGACCCTCGGCCCGTTCCACCTATTACGTTGGGACAACACCACGCGCGCCCCGCAAGTGTGCCCACGGTCTTAACAAAATTTTCTGAAAATCAAAAACTAACCATTTAGGACAGTAGCGTTGCATGCATTCAGGATTCTACCGGATAGTTCCATCAGTCTACCGAAGTACGGTAGCGCTAACGTGTTGAATGAATCGTAGAAACTGAAAGGACATGACGCAATGGACGCTTCTCACAAAGGGAAATTTCGATAAGCGGCTGAATTTTTTGTGCAGCTAATTACCTGTTACGCAAATACGAATAAACCGTGATGAAGACGGCCTTGGCGTTGCATACCATTGGGTTGCTGATGGTTTCAGTCCCTGTTCAGCCCAATCTATTAAACCGTTCACCACTGAGCGCAGGGTGTTCTCTGTCAAGACTTCAGCCATTGCCAACAACGACTTGAAGACACTCCTTTCTACATTTCTAGCAGGCTCGAAATTCTGAACAAACAAATTATTGGTACTTTAAAAAAAATAGGTTCTGTTTAGGTTCTTGGGAGGAGCAATTCTGCAGTATTTGCGCTTCGTTTTTTTATTTGTAGCTAAGTTGACACCTTGGGGTGTTCTGTAGAATTTTGGTTCACTGCATGAATTGCTACTGCTGATAACTTCAAAGGATAATTATGACCCACATAAATCATTCGGCCTATGGAAACCAACAAATTAACCCCCGCGGAGCCGAAACGCGCTAAATAAAAACAATATTTTTGACAATACCTCAACATTCCTCTCACATGCACGAAATTCGAGTCCTTTCAAGAAAACATCTTTCAGGAGGACATCTCTACTATGAGTAACTGCCAAGCGATTCTTTTGTTCCCCCCCCCCCCCCTTCAAAGTAGTTGGCCAGCAGTGAAAACAGGTTGATTAGCGGCTTCTGCAAAAAGTTCGTATCTGTGGGACAAAACTAGTTGAATTGATCGATCACTGACCTCTTCATGGCTAAGATCAGTAACGGCTTTCGCAAAATACTCCGGTATGACTCGCACTTCCATTTTGAGAAGTGCAGAGCGAATGAATCCGAAGCTGGATATATTTTATTTTTAGTTTTCGTTTGCGTAGTTTGAACATAGGGGTACTAGGAATACCTTTTTTGTCGAATACTGGTCTTCGTGCTTTGCATATATTGGGACTTCTCCATAGGTGCAGCAGGTGTTGAAGTACCGTCCTCTTGCGCGTCAGAATATCTTCAAAATAGTTAGGTTTCAGTATTCTCACATGCTTAGAAACTGTCTTTAGAGGGGCATGGGCACGAATTCGCAGCGCAGGGAGCGGGCTGTTATCTGGCAGACGTCATTGTGAAGGCTGGGTTCGGATAGGGTGACCAACCGCCCTCTCGCAGTCCTTCAGTCGATGACACTAGCAGTAACTGCCTGCCCCAGCCATGGTACCCACCGCCTTTGAGCAAAATTCAAACCAACCGTGCACTCAAGGCGGCAATAAAAAACGAGGAACTTCTGGTAGAAATTGGGAAACAAACGGTGCAAACTGATCCATTATCCGTTGGATACAAGTCAGAACAGAGATCTAAAAACATGATGCATCACAGGTTCAGAATCACAAATCCAATGATTTCTGACAATTACCAGCAGTGGAGAACCACCAGGTCTTCGTCCGCTAAGCGACTGCAGTCGCATACGGGCCCGCTTACTGGGTACATCTTCAGACTGAGGCCTGCGGTTGTGGATTCACTGCCAATAACCGGGTTAGATGAGTTAATAAGAGAATAAGAACACGGAGAAAAGTAAGCAAGAAAATCAGAAACAGCCCTCATACCTTGTCTTCAGAAACACAACTACCTTAATATTTTCAGACAGGTCTTGAGCAATGGAACTGCCGACGCCATAGTGGACTTCATGTTTAGAGATCTGCAAAAATTATGCCAATATTAGCAAGATGCTCTGACGATTACATTAGCGCCAATGACTATGGCAGCAAAGCGGTTAGTGTAGAGCGGGCTGCGTATCCTGAAGATAAGAAGATTTCAAGCTACTGATTAAATGATTTCGGATTTAGGGCATGAGGCGCAACACAGAAGCTTCGCAGAGCACCTTATGGTGCTCCCACCAAGCAGTGTTGCGCTAAATTTCCTTCTACAATTAGAACTGCAGAATATATTACTCGAAAATCCTGTGATCGGGTAGGCATGGTTTGCATTACTCATTTCAAAGTGGGGGCGGAGCAGGTTTTTCTGAGGTATTTTCAATTTGGAATGATGGTAGTAATGTCTACATCTAACAGAACAAGATGGTAGTTGTATCATATTAAAGTATCCCACGAGTAACTTTACTTTATTTTAATTTTATTAGTATCGGCAATGAAATGAACAGTGAAAAACCCGTGCTATGCCATGCTCAAAGCTACTCCATCTCAGGATAAGGAGTGTATTGGTGTGAATTTTTTCCCGAAACCTACCGTATCAGTTCACCAGCAAGGAGTAAAATATTTCCAATCAAACATTCGTCAACCGTTTGATATTCAGAAGCCTGAAACACAGCCTGACACAATTAGGTTGGACTTATTGCGGCATTTCTGCAAAAGAAACCAATTCGCTTACAATGTCTATGCACTTCGACATGGTGTCGGAAAGTACCGAACTACTCGAACGATTACAAAGACGTTTCGCTACCAGTTTGAGGGAGAAAGCTGCATTTTGGCATAGAACGTCCTGTAATCAATAATTATCACTAATACGAGGCTTAGGCTCATAAATAAATGGTTCTGAAGCCGCAATCCTAGGTCCACAGCAACAGCAACAGAAAAAAAAACAACTCACCTGTTCATGACCCTTCCTTTCTTTTGTGATCCATTTATTGAGAACAGCAGCCATCCTCTCCAGAAGCTGTACACTAATACCGCCTTCGGTAGCAAAATACCCATCATAAATCAACTTCGAATTTGCTAATTGGAGAGCCTAGAAATTGGAATATGAAACACCCGCAGCTCTATAAAAAACATCACCAAAATTACTTTTTCGCGCATTCTCATGTCAGCATTCTCGTCCTCAAGAATATCGGTAATGACAGTAGCAGCCACTCCGCCTGGCAGTAGATGACGTAACTGCAATAGAGACCATAAAGAGTGAAATAGTACGAGGATCATTCGAAACGATAAAATTTAGGAGACTATTTTAGTTGAGAAGGGCGGCAAAGTCTTTAGAAGGGGGCAGATGACAACTGCACAAGCGCGATCTCGTTTCAAGGCGCGGAGAAGCGGATTTCGCACCACAGCTGCGAGAGTTCCACCCAAGTACAGTAGCGTTTACACTTACAAGTAAACCCGTTCTCTAGACAACACCAACAAATTGTTCGAACAGAAGATTGGTTCTCATGGGGAAAAAAGTACCGGGGGAAAGTCAAGGACAAACATATCGTGAGGCTGAAATTAAAGTTCCTACCATATATAAGTTGACTGACCTTTTCGGAAACCGTTTCAGCTCTTCCTGACAAAGCAATCCAATAACGAATAGTTTGTTGGTCTTGACTTTC